ACATTTTACTGGTTTACATAGTAGTGAAGATAAAATTGTCTGTATGTGAGGCATGGACAGAGTTACCAAGCTCACGAAATAAGAGAGTTCTGACTTTCGGAAAACTTTCCCTTCTTCAAGACCTTTTATGACATGGCGACAGATGCACATTTAGGAACTTGCAAAATGTAGGTATACATAGTAACACATAAATCTATATGGGAGCTTTTTTTTTTTTAAATTCAGGAGACAATGTACTGCTGCTTGTACATAATTAAAGATATTAACTTCTGTCCTTTTATATATTTTTAGGTAAATGTTTATTGTCTCTCCTAAGAACTGGCAACCTAGAAATGCATTTTTTGTGCTCCTTATAAAGGCATTCCCCAAGGCTACAGTTCTTGAAGCTTTAAGGCAGTTTTTATTAAAGCAGCCAGCTGTTTCTTTGTATGGATTGGCTGTTTAAAGCTGTAGCTCTAAAGTCGGAGCCTCAGTTTAGACATTCTGTAGGCCCTTAGCAAAACAGTTCCATTCAGATGTTGGGATGGGGGTGTCTCCACCAAATCAAACAGCTGCTGGTGGCTAGCAGGATAGCAGGAAGCAGAGGAATGAATGATAAGGCTTAAAAAAAAAAGAAAGAAAGAAAAGAAAAGTAAAAAGGAGGAGGAGGAGGAAAGATTCAAACAATCCTCCCCCAAGGTGTATACATGAAAGAAGAAACATCAGTGGGCAACTTTACCTAAGTTTAAACCAGTTGCCACCTCCTTTCCCCCAAAGGCCATCTCCTAAGAAAATTCCCTTTGTTTTCTGTTGTTTCCTGATTTCTCTTATCCTGAGACTACAGAACTAAGAAAAAAAAAATAAGATCTATCAAAAGAATGCCATCTCACCTCTGTTTTAATAACTGTGTGCTTCCAGCTCAATGTATGGGAGTGGTTATGGTGGGTTTTCTGCCAACTCCTGGTAAATAGAAATACATAAATAATTTTTTCCACACGGTGTGAATGTGTTTACTAGATGAACGAGTTAATACGTTAGAGTTCGAGTTACAGTGAGTGGACTGATCCTGTAACTGTTACTCTGGTGAAGATACGAGGGGGCTTGGGCCAGGGTGCTGGGGGCTGCCGAGACTCTGGCCCTGCACACTCTCTCCAGGAGTGTGAAAGTGTGTGAGATGAATACGCGTGTCTTTTCGGTGTAGCTCCGATATTCTGGGTTGGTTCCCCTTCGCGCAGCACACCCCAGCAGGAGGGAGTCTGCAGCACTTTAGAGACTAGTCCAACTCAGGATATGGACTGAGTAGAGCCCTTCCTCTGGACCTAAGGTGAAGAGCTCGACTGATGCTGGCGCCACAGTCTCCTCACAGGTTACCTCCAGCCTGTCCCTGCGGCAGGGGCCCAGGGGATCCGGCAGTCTGCCCCGGAGGCGGCGAGGCCCGCCAGAACCGCCTGCTCAGCCATTGTCCTAGCGAGTGTTCTCAAGGAGCTGTGCTGGAGTGAGGGAGATATCAAGACACCTTGTCAGTTCAAAGCATTTTAGGGTTGTTTGAAATCCTCTCCACGTCAACGTAAGCAGCCTCTGTATTTGAACAGCTGCTTTGAACAGTAAAAAGGAATGAGCTGAATCAAAACCTGGAGGTGTCTGCCCGAGACATCTTCAACGTGCTTTTATGCAGGCAGAGAAAGGCAGACAGACACGTGGACTCTGCCCTGACAGGGTCAGCCCGAAGAACGGCGCCTGCGACGGTGGGAGACGGGAGGAGAGGGTAGAGGGGCCCCCATCTGGAGCTAAAAGCTGGGAGAACCCAGGCTCCGGAAGCTGTAGGGTGGCGCCGCGCCGGGAGGCAGACAGGGAAGCCGAGGCTGCCCAGGACCCGGCGTTCGCGCCAACCGGACCCCCCGGCGACAGGCTGGGAAGCGGTACTGGTTTGGGGGGAGGTGGCACTTCGAGCCGCGGTGCGCGCCCAGCCCTGCCAGCCCGGCGACTGGCCCTGCTCCGGGGGTGGGGGTGGGCTGCAGAGGCTGCGGCCCGGGGGTAGGGCATTGCTTTGTGTACTCCCAGGGATTTATTGTGCATATTAAACCCGGTAGAACTACCCGGGCTCACCCTATTTGGAACATTTTGGCTCCTTCGTCGGCCAGCGAATTGAGGCGGGGGTGGGGGTGGGGGTGGAGTGGAGATCTAGGACGTCAACGTGGGCAGGATCTCTGAGTATTAATCGCCAGTGAGGTTCCATCGCAGACAGGAAGTTTTGATGTACACGTGCAGCCTTTTCTTGTACGTCGTCCCCCCTCCCCCCGCACACACACACACACACTCTAGCGCCCGGTGCGGGGAGGAGGGGGAGAAAAAAGGGGACAGAAGGAAATGGGGAGGAGGGACTTTTACATTGACTCGGAGCCAGATCGCCTCAGTTCTCTCGGAGATGAGTCTGGAAACTTCCTTCTTCCCTCGAGTGTACTACACTGCGGGCTGCAAAAGGCCTTGTCCCTTGAGAGATGTGAAATTAAATCCAGAGGAAAACACACACCTGCCCCGGAAATGGGGCGGGGGTAGGGTGCTGCTTAGCATCCGAACGCGGCCCTTCCCGGCGGCTGGATTCTTCCTTGCGTGAGAGCTCTGAGCTCCAGGGCAGGGGGAAAGGGGGAAAGGAAAGTGCGGCGGGCCTGGAGGGGATGTGACTGGCGCGCGGCCTGTGCGCTCCCCCAGGCCGAAGGGGAGTCTCTCACCCAACGCAAGGGACGCGGGACCAAGGTGGGAGGAGGCTGCCCTGCAGGCCGCCCAGGCCCTTCGCTCGCAGTCCAAGAGCCGCCGGCACCAGCTGCCGAGTTTGCGCGCTCTGAGGCTCGGACTTTTTAATTTTTTCCTAGCCAGGCAAAGTTACAGGATTCCCTGCAGCCCCCAGGCGCGCGGCCAGAGTGGCTCCGCGCTTGCGCTGGCACCGAGCGCCACGCTGTGTGGCCTCGCCTCGCCGCGCGGGTGCGCGCGTGGGGGGTGCAGGTCCGTCCCGCTGGCGGCCTGTGAGCTCGCCCCTCCCCTCACCATTTCTCTCTCCCCCCACACACGCTCATAAACACAGGACACGTGGAAATTCTCAGCCAAAGCGCCTTGCCCAAGCGGGTGCTCAGCGTGGTGATTTATAAACAGCTCAGCCACTCCCCAAAGACACCGCTCCTTGTTAGTCATGATGAATTTTCTGGCCCGCTCCATTCTGCTGTCTAGATTAAGATGCTCGGAAGCCCTAAAATGCTCCCTCTGAGCGTTGATTTGGCTTCCCTCACAAGCCCAAGACTGCCGGCAGAGCCAGCGCTGGCGTTACTACGCGCGGGGCCAGGAATGGGAGTTGGTTTTGTGATTCACATTCGCCGGGGTCTGTCTTTCCCTTCCCGGCAGTAACTTTTTATTCAGTTTGCATTACCCGCGCCGCACACCCGGCTCTGCGCGGCGGTCCGGCCGATCCAGCCTGCTCCCGCGCGGGGATTCCAGCTGCGGGGCTTGCAGGCTCCCAAACTGGCAGGAAGCACCTGCTCCGTGCGGCTAAGAACCTGACGGCACGACGCGCCCGTGTTCAGCCGAGCGACGCCGCGGGTGCACCGTCCCCGAGGCATTGCTCGTAGTTCACGGCTGAAGGCTGAGCAGGGAGCTTGGCCTGCGAATGTCGGAGAGCGTGGTTTGACTAATCCCACCCGCTGGCGCCCGCAGAAGTTGCTGATAGGAAGGTGCCCTAGTATCAGCTCACTTGCTTTCACACATTCTTCCTCCCTTTCCCAGCGGCTAACGGAAAAGTTGTACGGACAGGCGCCAGGAGCGCGGGGAAACGAGCACGCAGCCCCCTCAGCACGGCTTCCCGGAGCGGCCCTCAGCGACTCCGCCGCACCCGGAGGCCGCGTTCCCCTAGCCAGCACTCCCGCAGCCTCGTTCACACAAGGCGAAGGTCTGCCCACGCAGACTCCTAGTTTTCTAAACGCAAACCGTGCGCGCACGCGAGTGTGAATCTGACAGAGACTTTTAGAGTTTAGTCTTGTTTCCAATTCACACTGCTGCGCTGTCGGAGCGGGCCACTGCGCGCCGTGACAGGAGCCGCTCGCAGCCGCGGTGCCGCGGAGCCCGCCTCTCGCGCGGCCCGTTCGCCGAGGGGCTAGGAGACAATTGAGCCTGGAATGGAGAGAGAAGAGAGCCCGCGCTAGCTGCGGCGTGGAGGGAAAGGAGAGAACCTTTATTGGGACAAAAGTGTCCGTACACCCTGGAGCAAGAGGCACTGGTGCACTGAAATTCTAACCGTGGGTTGAAAGGAGACTTCAACAGGGAGACAAGTCTGGCTCCTGGCTCTAGGTTTAAGAGACGCTGGTGTGTGCGTATGTGTCCCTAGGTGAATAAAAATTGGACTCCTGCTGGTTCGATACGACCCAGCCTTTCTCTTCCTCCTTCCCGCTCCCTCCCTCAAAACCCCTATTAGGGAGAGAAAGTGGACCCCCCCACCCCTCAATCCAGGTCTTCCAAGTGGCTGTGGTCGATAAGAGCGCCAGGACCGCCCCCCTGCCCGGCTTCTCAGCCTGGGAGACAGATGGGGGGCGGGGCCCATCCGAAAGGGGGCGGAGGAGGCCCTGGGGTGGGGAAGAAGAGGGGGGTGAGAACTGAGAGAATCTGAATCGCGAGGCGAGGGGGAACTGGGAGGAGGGCTAAGAGGACTGAGCGCCCGGGGGAGGGGGAGGGGGCAGCTCTCCACCAATCAGGGGAGCCGGCCTGGGAGGTTGCTAGCGGTATCCACGTAAATCAAAGGGCGCGGAGCCAATGGGAGGGGGCGGAGGGGGCGGGGCCCAGGCGCGTGCCGCTGCGAGCCGGCGCTGCCAAGAGAGCGGGAGAGAGCTGGAGAGAGCAGGGAGAGGGGGGAGCGCTGAGCGAGTCGGAGAGTGAGCGAGAGCGAGAAGGAGGGAGAGGAGGAGAAAGAGAGCGAGGGCGGGCGGGAGGCGACGGCGGCGGCAGCAGCAGTAATAGCAGGAGCAGCAACAGAAGGCGTCGGAGCGGGCGTCGGAGCTGCCCGCTGGGGGAGAAAGACAGGAGAGAGAAAGAGCGCGAGCGAGGAGAGGGAGCCCGAGGCGAAAAAGTAACTGTCAAATGTGCGGCTCCTTTAACCGGAGCGCTCAGTCCGGCTCCGAGAGTCATGGCGACCGCAGCGTCTAACCACTACAGCCTGCTCACCTCCAGCGCCTCCATCGTGCACGCTGAGCCTCCCGGCGGCATGCAGCAGGGCGCGGGGGGCTACCGCGAGGCGCAGAGCTTGGTGCAGGGCGACTACGGCGCGCTGCAGAGCAACGGGCACCCGCTCAGCCACGCTCACCAGTGGATCACCGCGCTGTCCCACGGCGGCGGCGGCGGGGGCGGCGGCGGCGGCGGCGGGGGGTGAGATCACGGCCGGCCCGGTGCAATGGGGGGTCTCGACCTCCCCGGGCCACCCACGGTATAACTTCGTATAATGTATGCTA